GTCCTACTGAGGACTTCATACCAGCCCATTCACCTTTACTCCACCTTTACTCAGTCCTACTGAGGACTTCATACCAGCCCATTCACCTCCACTCCATCCTACTGAGGACTACATACCAGCCCATTCACCTTTACTCCACCTTTACTCAGTCCTACTGAGGACTACATACCAGCCCATTCACCTTTACTCCACCTTTACTCAGTCCTACTGAGGACTACATACCAGCCTATTCACCTTTACTCCACCTTTACTCAGTCCTACTGAGGACTACATACCAGCCCATTCACCTTTACTCCACCTTTACTCAGTCCTACTGAGGACTTCATACCAGCCTATTCACCTTTACTCCACCTTTACTCAGTCCTACTGAGGACTACATACCAGCCCATTCACCTTTACTCCACCTTTACTCAGTCCTACTGAGGACTTAATACCAGCCTATTCACCTTTACTCCACCTTTACTCAGTCCTACTGAGGACTACATACCAGCCTATTCACCTTTACTCCACCTTTACTCAGTCCTACTGAGGACTTCATACCAGCCCATTCACCTTTACTCCACCTTTACTCAGTCCTACTGAGGACTTCATACCAGCCCATTCACCTTTACTCCACCTTTACTCAGTCCTACTGAGGACTACATACCAGCCTATTCACCTTTACTCCACCTTTACTCAGTCCTACTGAGGACTTCATACCTGCCCATTCACCTTTACTCCACCTTTACTCAGTCCTACTGAGGACTTCATACCAGCCCATTCACCTCCACTCCATCCTACTGAGGACTACATACCAGCCTATTCACCTTTACTCCACCTTTACTCAGTCCTACTGAGGACTTAATACCAGCCTATGTAAATTCCCCATTTGCCCTGTAGACACATAACATCTTGGACTTTTTTTAAACTAAAACTTGTTACCTGTCTATAGAACAAATTAATATTTTTCTCATATATCACTTTGTGGATTAAGAAAAATTATATTCCATGAATGTCAAAATTATGTTGCACCAGTGATTTGACCAACGGTTCAATGCAAACAGTCTGGTAAAAAACTCACATCTTCTGTAGGTTGGCAAAGACCCTGGAATATTCCAGATTACTGAGTAATCCGCCCTGAGTAATCCACATTACTCTGTGGATTGATGAAACAAAAATTATGCCTTTCTTGGGAGGTTCCACTTTTTTAATTTTTAAGTTAATGGTTGCCAATATTGTTATTCATAACGTATAAATTTTCAGTTATTGATGTGACGACACAGACAGTTTCCGTATGTAGCTGTCTGGCAAAATTAAGTAATGTGTTTTGTCTGTATCAAGGATTGGCTTTAAAAGATGAACTTGGAAGAGACAGAGCTGGATGGTAGAATGAGAATGACTGGACATGATAAAACTGAAAATTAATGGATATTAATTAATAGCAAATGATTACAATTAATTAATTAATGAACAACAAAAACATGGTGGTGAGTGTGTAAATGGGTGGATCACCACAAGCCGCCATGCTGTCCAGTAATATGGTTAGTTCGCAGCCCAAGCACTTTTAGTATTTTTATTTGGTTAGGTTTTTGTTCTACCTATTTTATCTAATTCTACTATTATTACTTTATTTTTATTAGGTTATTTGGCAACAGGTCAGTAACATGATTGGGTATAAAAGAGCAACTCAGAGAGGCGGAGTCTTTCAGAAGATGAGGAGGGGTCCACCACTCTGTGAAAGACTACACCATCAAATAGTGCAACAATTCAAGAAAAACGTTTCTCAACATAAAATAGTAAAGAACTTTAGCTTTTCATCATCTACGGTTCATAATATCATTAAAAGATTCAGAGAAACTGGAGAAATCTCTGTATGTGAGGGACGAGGCCAAAAACCAGTATTTGCTGGCTGTGATCTTTGGGCCCTCAGGCAGCACTGCATTAAAAACAGACATGATTCTGTAGTGGAAATCACTGCATGGGCTCAGAAACACTTCTGAAAACCACTGTCTGTGAAAACTGTTCATCACTACATCCACAAATGATAATTAAAACTCTAAAACACAAAGTAGAAACCAAATATAAACAGGATCCAGAAATGCTGCCACCTTCTCTGGCTCTGAATTCATTTAAAATGGACTGAGGAGAAGTAGAAAAGTGTCCTGTGGTCCAACGAATCAACATCTGAAATTCCTTTTGGATATCAGAGACCTGTCACCACTTAAAAAAATTTGGAGGGTTATGAAAAGAAAAATACAACAAAGGAGACCATGAACTGTTGAGCAGCTGAAACCCTGGGTCCTCAGTTCCCAAACACTTACAGGGTGCTATTAAAAGAAGAGGTGATGAAACACAGGTAAACATGCCCCCGTCCCAACTTTTTTGATATGTGTTGTCATCAAATTCAAAATGGGCATAATTTTTCAAAAAACAATAGAATTTCTCACTTTCAACATTTGATATGTTGTTTTTGTACTACTTTTAAATAAATATAGGGATTAAAAAATCTGCATATCATTGAATTTTGTTTTTATTTAAATTTTGAACAGCGTCACAACTTTTATGGAAACAGTTGTATTTAATATGAGATCAACACCTGCACTGAAACCAATACATCCTCTCATGGTGAACTAGTCTTTACTGGATCGACTGATCCCAGTTGGTTCAAGTTGAATTTCATAAAAATCATTAGCACTGTAAAGCAGTAGCTTTGCTGGAAATTATGTTTTCTTTAAACCTGTCAAAACCAATAGAAACCACTAGGACTCTATTGGCAGTGGAACTGGACTAGACCAAATCTATTTTGAAAGTTATTGATTTAAAATCAAGTTTATTTCAGTATAAAGCATTAGCAATCATTTAAATCCAGTAGAGTTACTTGAATGCAGTTTATGCAGCAGTTCAGATTCATTTACAGTATCTCACAAATGTGAGTGCACCCCTCACATTTCTTTTCATGGGAAACACTATAGAAATGAAACTTGGATATAACTCAGTCAGTGTACAGCTTGTATAGCAGTATAGATTTACTGTCCTCTGAAAAGAACTCAACACACAGCCATTAATGTCTAAATAGCTGGCAACACAGGTGAGCACACCTCACAGTGAACATGTCCAAATTGTGCCCAGTTGTGTCGTTGTCCCTCCCTGGTGTCATGTGACTTGTTAGAGTTACAAGGTTCCAGGTGTGAATGGGGAGCAGGGCTGTTAAATTTGGTGTTTTGGGTAGAATTCGCTCATACCGGCCACTGGATATTCAACATGGCACCTCATGGCAAAGAACTCTCTGAGGATGTGAGAAATAGAATTGCTGCTCTCCACAAAGACGGCCTAGGCTATAAGAAGATTGCTGACACCCTGAAACTGAGCTAAAGCACGGTGGCCAAGGTCATACAGCGGTTTTCCAGGACAGGTTCCACTCCAAACAGGGGTCGAGCAAAGAAGTTGAGTCCATGTGTTCAGTGTCAGATCCAGAGGTTGGCTTCAAAAAACAGACGCATGAGTGCTGCCAGCATTGCTGCAGAGGTTGAAGAAGAGGGAGGTCAGCCTGTCAGTGCTCATACGCCAGACAATGCATCAACTCAGTCTGCATGGCCGTCGTCCCAGAAGGAAGCCTCTTCTGAAGCTGACGCACAAGAAAGCCCAGAAACAGTTTGCTGAAGACAAGCAGTCCAGGAACATGGACTACTGGAACCGTGTCCTATAGTCTGATGAGACCAAGATTAACCTTTTTGGCTCAGATGGTGTCCAGCATGTGTGGCGGCACCCTAGTGAGGAGTACCAAGACAACTGTCTCTTGCCTATAGTTAAGCATGGTGGTGGTAGCATCATGGTCTGGGGCTGCATGAGTGCTGCCGGCACTGGGGAGCTGCGGTTCATTGAGGGAAGCATGAATTCCACCATGTACTGTGACATTCTGAAGCAGAGCATGATCCCCTCCCTTCAGAAACTGCGCCGCATGGCAGTTTTCCAACTCGATAACGACCCAAAACACACCTCCAAGATGACCACCGCCTTGCTGAAGGTAAAGGTGATAGACTGGCCAAGTATGTCTCCAGACCTAAACCCAATGGAGCACCTACTGGTCATCCTCAAGCAGAAGGAGGAGGAGCGCAAGGTGTCTAACATCCACCAGCTCTGTGATGTCATCATGGAGGAGTGGAAGAGGATTCCAGTAGCAACCTGTGCAGCTCTGGTGAATTCCATGCCCAAGAGGGTTCAGGCAGTGCTAGATAATAATGGTGGTCACACAAAATATTGACACATTGAGCACAATTTGGACATGTTCACTGTGAGGTGTGCTCACTTGTGTTGCCAATTATTTAGACATTAACGGCTGTGTGTTCAGTTATTTTCAGAGGACAGTAACTGTACACTGACTACTTTAAGTTATATCCAAGTTTCATTTCTATAGTGTTTCCCATAAAAAGATATAATATTTGCAAAAATGTGAGGGGTGTACTCACTTTTTTGTGAGATACTGTATGTTTCTGCTGAAGCTGCCTGTATGGTGGAGATGTTAGTGTTAGCATACTAGCATTTGCTACTGCTGCCAGTGATACACTACAGTTTAGCTTTGGAGTTTCACTGGCATTTTCATGTTCGGCTGAAATGAAGAGACATTAAGTATTTACATTTTTTAGTAAAACCACACGTGTGTTTATTTTGGCCATGCTAACGTTAGCCACAGCTAGCCACTACAGAGGTGAGGATCACACTGCAGCGTGCTGTGTTTCATCAGGACACTTCAAAGTATTTACCATTTTTATTAATAGACTCATGATCGGACCTGAGAGACAGACTGGACCAGAGTCCAATGCCACTGACTCCAATCCTGACCACCTGTGAGCTTCCTGCCTTATTCTTCTTTCTAAAACAGAAGATTTGCTTTTGAGTAGTTCAGGAAATGAGTGAAGTGAGATAACGAGCTGGAACCTCCAGCAGGCGCGCTCAAAACCTAGAGATTATCAGTATTTAGAGATGATCAAACACGCTCAACAAAAACATGAAAGCAAATAAAATCATGTTGAATATAAACTGGTTTATTTGCATAGTTTCCTCTGTGAAAATCAAATAATACATGCAGCACAGAAGCCATGCACCTCTTTCAGAGAGTACAAAATGATCTTTTCACCCATAAACACAGCCACCAGGGGGCGCTCCAGCTGTGACCACTAAACTCTCAGGCTTTTGTTTAGTCTCTGGATTTATTTAATCTAATTTTGAAGTAAACAACTTTGATACAAATTTGTAGACCAATCGAATCACTGGCCCGGGTCAAAGAGACCTCATCACAATGTAGAGAGTGAGGATCTGTTTCTACTGAGGAGCGCTGAGGAGCACAGAGGAGTGCTGAGGAGCGCTGAGGAGTGCTCACACTCTACTGAGCTTTCTGTGTTACTGCATGACTTCTCCAGTAGGGGGCAGTGTGCTGATTCTAAAGTAGAGGCTGTTCAGTGAAACGACTTTAAGGCTTTAAGGTTTAAATTAAACACTCAGAGAAAGCAGGTAGTTACCCCCCCAGGCCCCCCCACCCCCCCCCCATCAGTTATCTATTAGTAAATACAGGCTGATTCACACACTGTGTGGGTGTGAGAGTGAGTGTGGTGATGGAATGTTCTAGACGTCTCGTCATCATCTTTCAGTCCGAATCTTCATCATCCAGATACTCATCAGCGTTACTGTGAGTGCGCGTTATCACTGCAAACACACAAACACAGTGAACACCAACGCAGATATGCACATGAATATTTTTTGTACAAAATTTGAACAAAATCTGTACAAAAATTGTAATTTGTACAGGTGATTATGGGGCAATTAAAGTTAGAGGTAAATATATTTTACTGTGGGATTAATAGGGTTTATGTGTTTATGTACAGGTGTTAATGGGGTGATTAAAGTTAGAGGTAAATATATTTTACTGTGGGATTAATAGGGTTTATGTGTTTATGTACAGGTGTTAATGGGGTTACAGTAATTAAAGATAAAGAAATAAATATGTTCTATTTGAGTTTGCATGTTTTTGTCGTTGTGTTGTGGCCTCACCGCTGCTCTGCTTCCTCTTCAGCAAAGATGCACACTGAGCGTTAGTGGCCATCTCCAGCGCCGTCTTCTTCTCATTATTCAGAACATCAGTCCTCGCATCTACACACACACACACACACACACACACACACACACACACACAGACACAAAAAGACAGAATGGAGTGATGATAAATGAATGAGAGGATGGAGGAATGAAGAATCAGAAAGGATGGAAGGATGAATGAAAGAGGATAGAGGGATGATGGAAAGATGATGAATGAGAGGATGGATGTGTCTGTTACATACTGCGGTTGAGCAGCATTTCCACAATGTCTGCGTAACCCTTCCAGGCAGCTGCGTGAAGAGCTGTGTCTCCCAGTTTATTCTGCAGAACAATCACTCTGTCACTTTACATAACACCTAATCACATCAGTGTACACACTATAACACCTAATCAAACACCTAATCACATCAGTGTACACACTATAACACCTAATCAAACACCTAATCACATCAGTGTACACACTATAACACCTAATCAAACACCTAATCACATCAGTGTACACACTATAACACCTAATCAAACACCTAATCACATCAGTGTACACACTATAACACCTAATCAAATCAGTGTACCCCCTATAACACCTAATCAAACACCTAATCACATCAGTGTACCCCCTATAACACCTAATCAAACACCTAATCACATCACTGTACACACTATAACACCTAATCAAACACCTAATCACATCACTGTACACACTATAACACCTAATCAAACACCTAATCACATCACTGTACCCACAATAACACCTAATCACATCACTGTACACACTATAACACCTAATCAAACACCTAATCACATCACTGTACACACTATAACACCTAATCAAACACCTAATCACATCAGTGTACCCCCTATAACACCTAATCAAACACCTAATCACATCACTGTACACACTATAACACCTAATCAAACACCTAATCACATCACTGTACACACTATAACACCTAATCACATCAGTGTACACACTATAACACCTAATCACATCAGTGTACCCACAATAACACCTAATCAAACACCTAATAACATCAGTGTACACACTACAACACCTAATCAAACACCTAATCACATCACTGTACACACTATAACACCTAATCACATCACTGTACACACCATAACACCTAATCAAACACCTAATCACATCACTGTACACACTGTAACATCTAAAAACCTAATCACATCACTGTACACACCATAACACCTAATCACATCACTGTACACGCTGTAACACAATAACACCTAATCACATCACTGTACACACTGTAACACCTAAACACCTAATCACATCACTGTACACACCATAACACCTAATCACATCACTGTACACACCATAACACCTAATCACATCACTGTACAAACTGTAACACCTAAACATCTAATCACATCACTGTACACACTGTAACACCTAAACACCTAATCACATCACTGTACACACCATAACACCTAATCACATCACTGTACAAACTGTAACAGCTAAACACCTAATCACATCAGTGTACACACCATAACACCTAAACACCTAATCACATCACTGTACACACTATAGCACCTAATCACTGTATACACAATAACATCTAAACACCTAATCACATCACTGTACAAACTGTAACACCTAAACACCTAATCACATCACTGTACACACTATAACACCTAATCACATCACTGTACACACTGTAACACCTAAACACCTGATCACATCACTGTAACACCTGAACACATAATCACATCACTGTACACACTATAACACCTAATCACATCAGTGTACACACCATAACACCTAATCACATCAGTGTACACACTATAACACCTAATCACATTACTGTACACACTATAACACCTAATCAAACACCTAATCACATCAGTGTACACACTATAACACCTAATCACATCAGTGTACCCACCATAACACCTAATCACATCAGTGTACACACTATAACACCTAATCACATCACTGTACACACTATAACACCTAATCAAACACCTAATCACATCAGTGTACACACTATAACACCTAATCAAACACCTAATAACATCAGTGTACCTACCATAACACCTAATCACATCAGTGTACACACTATGACACCTAATCACATCAGTGTACCCACAATAACACCTAATCACATCAGTGTACACACTATAACACCTAATCACATCAGTGTACACACCATAACACCTAATCACATCAGTGTACACACTATAACACCTAATCACATTACTGTACACTATAACACCTAATCAAACACCTAATCACATCAGTGTACACACTATAACACCTAATCACATCAGTGTACCCACCATAACACCTAATCACATCAGTGTACACACTATAACACCTAATCACATCAGTGTACACACTATAACACCTAATCAAACACCTAATCACATCAGTGTACACACTATAACACCTAATCAAACACCTAATAACATCAGTGTACCTACCATAACACCTAATCACATCAGTGTACACACTATGACACCTAATCACATCAGTGTACCCACAATAACACCTAATCACATCAGTGTACACACTATAACACCTAATCACATCAGTGTACACACTATAACACCTAATCAAACACCTAATCACATCACTGTACACACTATAACACCTAATCAAACACCTAATAACATCAGTGTACACACCATAACACCTAATCACATCAGTGTACCCACAATAACACCTAATCAAACACCTAATAACATCAGTGTACACACTATAACACCTAATCAAACACCTATTCACATTAGTGTACCCACAATAACACCTAATCAAACACCTAATAACATCAGTGTACACACTATAACACCTAATCAAACACCTATTCACATCAGTGTACACACTATAACACCTAATCAAACACCTATTCACATCAGTGTACCCACAATAACACCTAATCAAACACCTAATCACATCACTGTACACACTATAACACCTAATCACATCACTGTAGACACAATAACACCTAATCACATCACTGTACACACTGTAACACCTAATCACATCACTGTAACACCTGAACACCTAATAACATCAGTGTACACACTATAACACCTAATCAAACACCTATTCACATCAGTGTACACACTATAACACCTAATCAAACACCTATTCACATCAGTGTACCCACAATAACACCTAATCAAACACCTAATCACATCACTGTACACACTATAACACCTAATCAAACACCTATTCACATCAGTGTACCCACAATAACACCTAATCAAACACCTAATCACATCACTGTACACACTATAACACCTAATCAAACACCTATTCACATCAGTGTACACACTATAACACCTAATCAAACACCTATTCACATCAGTGTACCCACAATAACACCTAATCAAACACCTAATCACATCACTGTACACACTATAACACCTAATCACATCACTGTACACACCATAACACCTAATCAAACACCTAATCACATCACTGTACACACTGTAACATCTAAAAACCTAATCACATCAGTGTACCCCCTATAACACCTAATCACATCAGTGTACCCACAATAACACCTAATCACATCAGTGTACACACTATAACACCTAATCACATCACTGTACACACAATAACACCTAATCAAACACCTAATCACATCACTGTACACACTATAACACCTAATCAAACACCTAATCACATCACTGTACACACTATAACACCTAATCAAACACCTAATAACATCAGTGTACACACCATAACACCTAATCACATCAGTGTACCCACAATAACACCTAATCAAACACCTAATAACATCAGTGTACACACTATAACACCTAATCAAACACCTATTCACATTAGTGTACCCACAATAACACCTAATCAAACACCTAATAACATCAGTGTACACACTATAACACCTAATCAAACACCTATTCACATCAGTGTACACACTATAACACCTAATCAAACACCTATTCACATCAGTGTACCCACAATAACACCTAATCAAACACCTAATCACATCACTGTACACACTATAACACCTAATCAAACACCTATTCACATCAGTGTACCCACAATAACACCTAATCAAACACCTAATAACATCAGTGTACACACTATAACACCTAATCAAACACCTATTCACATCAGTGTACACACTATAACACCTAATCAAACACCTATTCACATCAGTGTACCCACAATAACACCTAATCAAACACCTAATCACATCACTGTACACACTATAACACCTAATCACATCACTGTACACACCATAACACCTAATCAAACACCTAATCACATCACTGTACACACTGTAACACCTAAACACCTAATCACATCACTGTACACACCATAACACCTAATCACATCACTGTACACGCTGTAACACAATAATACCTAATCACATCACTGTACACACTGTAACACCTAAACACCTAATCACATCACTGTACACACTATAACACCTAAACACCTAATCACATCACTGTACACACTATAGCACCTAATCACTGTATACACAATAACATCTAAACACCTAATCACATCACTGTACAAACTGTAACACCTAAACACCTAATCACATCACTGTACACACTATAACACCTAATCACATCACTGTACACACTGTAACACCTAATCACATCACTGTACACACTATAACACCTAATCACATCACTGTACACACTGTAACACCTAAACACCTGATCACATCACTGTAACACCTGAACACATAATCACATCACTGTACACACTATAACACCTAATCACATCACTGTACACACTGTAACACCTAAACACCTGATCACATCACTGTAACACCTGAACACCTAATCACATCACTGTACACACCATAACACCTAATCACATCACTGTACACACTGTAACACCTAAACACCTGATCACATCACTGTAACACCTAAACACCTAATCACATCACTGTAAACACTGTAACACCTAATCACATCACTGTACACACTATAACACCTAATCACATCACTGTACACACTGTAACACCTAAACACCTGATCACATCACTGTAACACCTGAACACATAATCACATCACTGTACACACTATAACACCTAATCACATCACTGTACACACTGTAACACCTAAACACCTGATCACATCACTGTAACACCTGAACACCTAATCACATCACTGTACACACCATAACACCTAATCACATCACTGTACACACTGTAACACCTAAACACCTGATCACATCACTGTAACACCTAAACACCTAATCACATCACTGTACACACTATAACACCTAATCACATCACTGTACACACTGTAACACCTAAACACCTGATCACATCACTGTAACACCTGAACACATAATCACATCACTGTACACACTATAACACCTAATCACATCACTGTACACACTGTAACACCTAAACACCTGATCACATCACTGTAACACCTGAACACTTAATCACATCACTGTACACACTATAACACCTAATCACATCACTGTAGACACAATAACACCTAATCACATCACTGTACACACTGTAACACCTAATCACATCACTGTAACACCTGAACACCTAATCACATCACTGTAGACACAATAACACCTAATCACACCACAGTACACAAAGTAACAACTAATCACACCACAGTACACACAGTAACATCTAATCACACCACTGTACACAAAATAACATCTAATCACACCACTGTACACACAATAACATCTAATCACACCACTGTACACAGTAACATCTAATCACACCACAGTACACACAGCAACACCTAATCACATTACTGTACACACTATAAAATCAAATCACATCACTGTACACACAATAACACCTAATCGCATCGCTGTACACACAATAACATCTAATTACATCACTACACACAATACCATCTAATCACATCACTACACACAATAACATTAATCACATCACTGTACACACTATAACACCTATTCACACCACAGTACACACAGTAACATCTAATCACACCACTGTACACACAATAACACCTAATCACATCACTGTACACACTGTAACACCTAATCACATCACTGTAACACCTGAACACCTAATCACATCACTGTAGACACAATAACACCTAATCACACCACAGTACACAAAGTAACAACTAATCACACCACAGTACACACAGTAACATCTAATCACACCACTGTACACAAAATAACATCTAATCACACCACTGTACACACAATAACATCTAATCACACCACTGTACACAGTAACATCTAATCACACCACAGTACACACAGTAACATCTAATCACACCACTGTACACAAAATAACATCTAATCACACCACTGTACACACAATAACATCTAATCACACCACTGTACACAGTAACATCTAATCACACCACAGTACACACAGCAACACCTAATCACATTACTGTACACACTATAAAATCAAATCACATCACTGTACACACAATAACACCTAATCGCATCGCTGTACACACAATAACATCTAATTACATCACTACACACAATACCATCTAATCACATCACTACACACAATAACATTAATCACATCACTGTACACACTATAACACCTATTCACACCACAGTACACACAGTAACATCTAATCACACCACTGTACACACAATAACATTAATCACATCACTGTACACACTATAACATCTATTCACATCACTGTAACACCTGAACACCTAATCACATCACTGTAGACACAATAACACCTAATCACACCACAGTACACAAAGTAACAACTAATCACACCACAGTACACACAGTAACATCTAATCACACCACTGTACACAAATAACATCTAATCACACCACTGTACACACAATAACATCTAATCACACCACTGTACACAGTAACATCTAATCACACCACAGTACACACAGCAACACCTAATCACATTACTGTACACACTATAAAATCAAATCACATCACTGTACACACAATAACACCTAATCGCATCGCTGTACACACAATAACATCTAATTACATCACTACACACAATAACATCTAATCACACCACTGTACACACAATAACATTAATCACATCACTGTACACACTATAACATCTATTCACATCACTGTACACACCGTAACATGTAATCACATCACTGTACACACAATAACATTAATCACATCACTGTACACATTAAAACATCTAATCACATCACTGTACACACTAGATCATTCAAAAACATCACTGTACACACCATAACATCTAAACACATCACTATACACACTAACACCTAATCACATCACTGTACACACTATAACATGTAAACACTTCACTGTACATGCTATAACATCTAATCACATCAATCACATCACGGTACTTAAACAAGCAATACATAAATGAACTTATTTTTAACTATCAGTTCAGAGTTAGAGGGAAAATAACCCACCTGCTGATTGATCTCACAGTTCGGCTGGCTGAGCAACAACTCCACCACATCTACACACACACACACACACACACACACACACACACACACACACACACACGCACACACACACACACACACATTCAGATTAAGAGCTTTACTATACTAAGTGTGTGTGTCTAAGACTTCTGAACAACGCTGAATATGGGACTGTTTGGTTGTGTGTGTAATTACATAGGTATATGTGTATAAGTGCACATCCTGAATGTTTGAGTATATGAGTGCATAAATGTGAATATGCCTTTATTTACTGTATGTGAATGTAAATAAACATACATAACTGTACACGTGAGTGTATATGAGTACATTATGAGTAAGTTACCTCTGTGTCCTCCATGGCAGCTCCAGTACAGCGCTGTATTTCCTGCTTTATCCAACCCGTTAATGCCAACCTTGTTATCCAAACACTCTCTCAACCAGCTCAGATTACCTACACACACACACGGTTTTAGTACAGTGTTAAAGATGTGGAACATTAATAGTAATTTGTTTTTCATTTTTATTATAACATGAAATGATAAAATTCAGCTTCTTAAAATACTAACACTGCTGAAAGTATCTATGAACATTTAACATTATCAAAACTCTATTTTTGTGGTGGAATGTCTAAGTAAAAATCTGCTTGTAATATTTCAGATAAAACAGCTTTATCTGTTACTTTTAAGCACATTTGATGTGTAAATAATAAAGTGCTGTGTATTCATATACACAGTGTGGAGCACCTCTCTTGGCTGCCTCGTGCATGGGGTTATCAATGGACTCAGCCTGCTCTGCCACTGTGGGAAAGAAGAGAGGTTCATCAGTCACACACAGTAGACCAGAGAAAGAATCAATCCCTAACACAATCAGACACCGTAACATAGTACCTGTACTGTACTTTAACACTCACCTCAGTACTGTAACACTGTAACACTCACTTTAGCACTGTAACACTCACTTTAATACTGTAACACTCACTTCAATACTGTAACACTGTAACACTCATTTCAATACTGTAACACTCACATCAGCACTGTAACACTCACTTCAGCACTGTAACACTCAATTCAGTACTGTAACACTCACTTCAATACTGTAACACTAACACTCACTTCAATACTGTAACACTAACACTCACTTCAATACTGTAACACTCACTTCAGCACTGTAACACTCACTTCAGCACTGTAACACTCAATTCAGCACTGTAACACACACTTCAATACTGTAACACTCACCCCAGTACTGTAACACTCACCTCAGTACTGTAACACTGTAACACTCATTTCAGTACTGTAACACTCACATCAGCACTGTAGCACTCACTTCAGCACTGTAACACTCACTTCAGTACTGCAACACTCACATCCTTACTGTAGCACTCACTTCAGTACTGTAACACTGTAACACTCACTTCAGCACTGTAACATTCACATCAGTACTGTAACACTCACATCAGCATTGTGACACCTCATTGCTGTAACAATGACTTCTATACTGTTGCATACACATCAGTACTGTAACACTCACATCCTTACTGTAGCACTCACTTCAGTAATGTAACACTCACATCAGCACTGTGACATACACATCAGTACTGTGACACTCATATCAGCACTGTGGCATACACATCAGTACTGTAACAATCACTTCAATACTGTAACACTAACAATCACTTCAATACTGTAACACTAACACTCACTTCAGTACTGTGAAATACACTTCAGTACTGTAACACTCACATCCTTACTGTGACATACACATCAATGCTGTAACACTTGCATCATTACTGTGATACATCAGTACTGTAACAATGACTTCAATAGTGTAACACTCACGTCAGTACTGTGAAATACACTTCAGTACTGTAACACTCACATCTTTACTGTAACACTCACTTCAGTACTGTAACATTCACTTCAGTACTGTGAAATACACTCCAGTACTGTAACACTTACATCAGCATTGTAACATTCCCTTCAATAGTGTTACATACATGTCAGTACTGTAACACTCACATCCTTACTGTAATACTCACTTCAGTGCTGTAACACTCACATCCTTACTGTAACACTCACAACTGTCATACACACTTCAGTAACGCTCAATTCAGTACCATAACACACTTCAGCACTGTTACACTCCAGTACTGTAACACACACTTCAGTACCATAATACATACTTCAGTACTGTTACATATACTTCAGTGCTGTAACACACCTCTCAGTACGGTAACCCACCCTTCAATACGTAACCCACCCCTCAGTACGGTAACCCACCCCTCAGTACGGTAACCCACGCTTCAATACGGTAACCCACCCCTCAGTACGGTAACCCACCCTTCAATACGGTAACACACCCTTCAATACGGTAACCCACCCCTCAGTACGGTAACCCACCCCTCAGTACGGTAACACACCCCTCAGTACGGTAACCCACCCTTCCATACGGTAACACACCCCTCAGTACGGTAACCCACCCCTCAGTACGGTAACCCACCCCTCAGTACGATAACACACCCCTCAGTACGGTAACACACCCCTCAGTACGGCAACCCACCCTTCAATACGGTAACCCACCCCTCAGTACGGTAACCCACCCCTCAGTACGGTAACACACCCCTCAGTACGGCAACCCACCCTTCAATACGGTAACCCACCCCTCAGTACGGCAACCCACCCTTCAATACGGTAACACACCCCTCAGTACGGCAACCCACCCTTCAATACGGTAACCCACCCCTCAGTACGGCAACCCACCCTTCAATACGGTAACACACCCCTCAGTACTGTGAGTCTATGCAGAACTGGAGAAAGTGACTGACCGTAGTTACTGGGAATGAGGCCGGTTCTTCCTCTGCAGGTTCCCTTCCACCAGTTACTGTCACTCTATAAGCCACAAACACAGTACAGTCAAACATTTATTACACAGTTATAGACAGGTAATAGATACAGAGAGAGGGGGGCAGAGGGAGAGAGAGATGCACTCACTGTGTCTGAGATGTATAATATGTCTCCCTCCTCAAAGTAAAGCTCATCTGGCTGAAACACAAAAACATTTAGCAGTTAAGGTCATTAAATTACCTATGGTCAGATAAGGTCAGCTATGGTCAGCAACAGGACATTAAAGTCAGTTAGGGTCAGTTTTGGTAAGATAGGGTCAGTTAAGGTCAAATAAGGTTAGTTATGATCAGACAGAGTCAGTCAGGGTTAGTTACAGTTAGTTAAGGTCAGTTATGGTGAGATGGGGTCAGTCCCCCCCCCCACCTTTTTATGTTAGCACCACCTATCAGTGAGCTTCCAGACCACCAGTCAGTCACCCTCTATAAATGGGTGGAATGTGTTTATTTATTTGTTCAGATGTAAAATAGGAATTGGACACATCATCATTTTCACCATAACATTATATACCATATTACCGGCACTGTATACCGCATGACCATCACTGTATACCGTATAACCATCACTGTAAACCGTATCACCATCCCTGTATACCGTATCACTGTCACTGTATACCGTATTACCATCACTGTATACTGTATTACCATCACTGTATACCGTGTTACAGTCACTGTATACCGTATTACCAACACTGTATACCGTATCACCATCCCTGTATACTGTATTACCGTCACTGTATACTGTATTACCGTCACTGCATACCGTATTTCAGTCACTTAAAGATAAAGTCAGCTTAAAGATAATTTAAGGTCAGTTATGATCAGTTAAAGGTAATTTAAGATCGGTTAATGTCCATTATGGTCAGTTAGGGTCATGTATGGTTTGTAATGGTCAGTTTGAACAAATTAAATGTAATTTAAGGTCAGTTATGCTCAGTTGAAGGTCATTTAAGCTCAGTTATGGTCAGCTAGCCTCAGTTAGGGTGTAAATCAGACAGATATGGAGGTTCAAACAGGTAACTCACCGTCCGTGGGTCAAAGGTGAATAAAGCCCTGAACACTTTCACCTGACCTGTTAGAGCAGAACACACACACACACACACACACACACACACACACACACACACACACACACACACACACAGAATGGGTGAAGTCATTGACTCGCTGCGTGTCTGAGAGAGAGAAAGCTCATTAAACACGCCCAAACCTGCTCTATCCTCAACCTACCCCCTCAACCCCACCACTGCCCCCACCCACCACTCTACAGTCCCTAAACAACCCCTTCTTTACGGGTAAAACACACCACACTACCGTAGGCTCAGAGCCCCCCATGCCCACCCAAGCCCAGCATGTCCACAGTCAGTATGAGCCGACGGTTTAGAGCTGTAATTGGGGAAGTAGAGCCTACACGGCCACTCACACTCCGAAAATGGGCATGCAGTGCAGAGTGAAGGGTGGACACTGAAAACACTGAACAAGCACTTTTTTAAGACAGACATACACCAGAATAAGACAGCCTAACCCTTAAAGGAGCACTACAGCAACATCATACAGTTCAGATTATTACAGACATCACAGCACTAAATAACCCTTTCAGCTCTACTATAAGAACTATAAGGAGATAAATCCTGTAAATGTACTTCAAACAGACCAACAGCGGCCGTACTGTTAACCTTAGTGTGATTCTGGGTGTGTATTCACCAGCCCTCATTGGAATTTTCCGTTCCACCTTAAATGGTACAGCAGCTACATTAAGGCGCCGAACTGGCCTGAGGCGCCTTAATGTAGCTGCTGTACCATTTAAGGTGGAACGGAAAATTCCAAATACGAGGCTAATTTCAGCACATCGCCTGCAGTTCCGAGCTTTATGAGCTTAGACCGTCGTGCAGATCAGTGAACCCAATCAGCAGCGCCGTTTTCGTGAACTTTAACCCTTAAAACAGAGTTTAATCGAGTTTCTGAGCTCGGTTTTACCTGGTTTAGCTGGTTTAGGCGGCGGCTTAGACATTTCCGACCCTCCGAAACTCACAGCAGCGTCACAAAACCCGCTCTGACCGCCGACAACGAGCTGCGATAAAGTAAAACAGCAGCTTAATAAAATCAGAAAAAGTAAAAATAAGAAGTTCGTCGACACTCGGAGGAGGAAGTGGGGCGGAAACACGGAAGAGAGGCGGTGCGCATGCGCGCAGGAGGACACAGCGCAAACACTGTTGATTCATTTACATCTATTTTAAATAAATAAATATTTATACCGCTCAGGTTTGTAAATGCAAGCAAATAAATAAATAAAAACAAATGAGGACGTCCCAGACAAGCTCATGGGTTCTTTGAAATAGCGTTGCGTTTGTTTTTTTATTTATTTTTTTTTAATTTTATTATAATCATTGATGTTATTGTTGTTATTGTCATTAATGGTAATTATAATGCTTATAGTTTAATAACAACAACAACGATACTACACAACATACGTTTACACATATCTACCAATGTGGCCTACAGCAGTTTAGCCCCGCCCATCAATGCTGAAGTTATAAGGAGTGTTTCATCCTGGTCTGCTTTCTGAATGAGTAGCAATACAAGGCAGCCAAAAGGGCAGCCAAGGCAGGCCCTTTTCACAAGAGAATGCTGGGTAAAACAAGTTCCGCTATTGCTTCACAGACAGTTACCAACGTCAGAAACACAGGCGCTCGTATCACCTCAGCACCACAGACAGGAGGGTCACTTTATCTCTGTCAGAGTTGCTGAGACTGAAATTCGAGGATGAGTCCAGAACTGTCGGAGAACCAAACACACACCGATGCGGAGTCCAAACTAAATACAGGACATAAACGATTAGTGTAAAAATTCCTTAACAGCTGTCAGAGCACAGTAGCGTCAGCTACGTCTACAGAGAGAGAAATCAATGGAGGATAAAATAACTATAACCAAAGCGCTGGATTAGCCATGTTAGCTGGAGATGCTTAAACAGCTCGCTAACGATAAACCAGTTGGCAGGAAGCTAAACACGCACACACACCAGCAGGGGGGGCCGGGGGGGCCGGGTCGTCAGGGTCTGTAGCGCCATTATAGACGTTTCACACAAACGCCGGCTCCAGTGAAGAACGTCCACCTGCTGAGCTCTCGCTCTGTCAGACACCGACGGCTTCGAGGGAGAAATGAAAGCGCCTGTAGCAGCAACTTTAAACCACAAACTGCACTCAGTGTAACGTCAGCGGCGCTGAAACACTGACACAGAGGGCTTTTTACTCCGTATGAAAAGGTTTATTCCTTTAGTAACTTTATTAACAAACCCACTTTCCTCTGCTCATCATCAGCTGACAAACCACTGAAACTCAGACGAGGCTGGGCGGGTTTATTTATACACACTGTGGTCACTCAAACAGCTTCACAAGTGATGAAACACAAAGATAACAACTTAAAGGAGGAAAGAAATTAAAAACATGATTGAAGCATGATAAAAACAATAGAGTTTAAAAGAGGAGAATCATTACATTAAAAATCAGAGTAGAATACTGGAGTGGAGTTAGCGAAGTGCAGTGGAGCTAACAGCGTTTAAACTGGTTTAAAGGTGTTCAGTGTCCAGATGAGGCTGTTTTGCCTTCAAGCTCAAACACTCCAGTGAGCTGGACACACGCTGCTCATCACCGTTGCTGTTGTTGCTTTAGCAGAAGCAGCATTAGTTGCAACGAGCACTTCTAGCAGAAAACATTCAGAAATGTGAAAAGGGCCTATCAGAACAGAGCTCATTTACATACAGTATCCAAGTCTTAAAGATACAGAAATAAGAGAAGAAGAAATGTTGGGAAATGTTCACGTAGAAATGAATGAGACTGTTTTGGTACTTAAAACCTCACAAACAAATTGAACTCAAGAGGAAAATCAATACAAAGTTTATTTTTTTCTACTTTAATGATATTATAGTTCTATTAGCTTTAGATCAAAAGTAATAAAGGAATAACCATTGAGCTAACGTTAGCTAGCTGGTTATCTAGCCAATCTGGAGGATCACTCCGCTCTCTCCCGTCAGGAACAGCTGTAGAGCTAACGTTAGGTAGCCGATCTGGAGGATCACTCCGCTCTCTCCCGTCAGGAACAGCCGTAGAGCTAACGTTAGGTAGCCGATCTGGAGGATCACTCCGCTCTCTCCCGTCAGGAACAGCTGTAGAGCTAACGTTAGGTAGCCGATCTGGAGGATCACTCCGCTCTCTCCCGTCAGGAACAGCCGTAGAGCTAACATTAGGTAGCCGATCTGGAGGATCGCTCCGCTCTCTCATCAGGAACAGCCATAGAGCTAACATTAGGTAGCTGATCTAGAGGATCGCTCCGCTCTCTTTCCTGTCAGGAACAGCCGTAGAACTAACTTTAGGTAGCCAATCTGGAGAATCGCTCCGCTCTCTCTCGTCAGGAACAGCCGTAGAGCTAACGTTAGGTAGCTGATCTGGAGGATCGCTCCGCTGTCTTTCCTGTCAGGAACAGCCATAGAGCTAACGTTAGGTAGCCGATCTGGAGAATCGCTCCGCTCTCTTTCCTGTCAGGAACAGCCGTAGAGCTAACGTTAGGTAGCCGATCTGGAGGATCGCTCCGCTCTCTCTCGTCAGAAACAGCCGTAGAGCTAACGTTAGGTAGCTGATCTAGAGGATCGCTCCGCTCTCTTTCCTGTCAGGAACAGCCGTAGAGCTAACATTAGGTAGCCGATCTGGAGGATCGCTCCGCTCTCTCGTCAGGAATAGCTGTAGAGCTAACGTTAGGTAGCCGATCTGGAGGATCGCTCCGCTCTCTCTTGTCAGAAACAGCCATAGAGCTAACGTTAGGTAGCTGATCTAGAGGATCGCTCCGCTCTCTTTCCTGTCAGGAACAGCCGTAGAGCTAACGTTAGGTAGCCGATCAGGAGGATCGCTCCACTCCCTTTTCTGTCAGGAACAGCCGTAGAGCTAACGTTAGGTAGCCGATCTGGAGGATCGCTCCGCTCTCTTTCCTGTCAGGAACAGCCGTAGAGCTAACGTTAGGTAGCCGATCTGGAGGATCACTCCGCTCTCTCATCAGGAACAGCCGTAGAGCTAACGTTAGGTAGCCGATCTGGAGGATCGCTCCGCTCTCTTTCCTGTCAGGAACAGCCGTAGAGCTAACGTTAGGTAGCCGATCTGGAGGATCACTCCGCTCTCCCGTCAGGAACAGCCGTAGAGCTAACATTAGGTAGCTGATCTAGAGGATCGCTCCGCTCTCTTTCCTGTCAGGAACAGCCGTAGAGCTAACGTTAGGTAGCTGATCTGGAGGATCGCTCCGCTCTCTCGTCAGGAATAGCTGTAGAGCTAACGTTAGGTAGCTGATCTAGAGGATCGTTCCGCTCTCTCTCATCAGGAACAGCCGTAGAGCTAACGTTAGGTAGCTGATCTAGAGGATCGCTCCGCTCTCTTTCCTGTCAGGAACAGCCGTAGAACTAACTTTAGGTAGCCGATCTGGAGAATCGCTCCGCTCTCTCTCCTCAGGAACAGCTGTATGTTAGTAATGTTGGGATTTGTTGATGTTGTTTAGTCATTTCTGTGTTAGGAGGTTATTTCTGGAAGGTTTGTGTTCAGGATCATTAGTTCTCTTCTCTCAGGACACTAATTAGCATGGAGAGCATGTAGCATTAGCATGCACAGTGTGTAGCATTAGCATGTAAAGATGTCCACAGAGCAATGTGAGTTTAAACAGTAAGAGAACGAAGCATGATCCTGCATACAGAGCTCAGCACAACAGAGTCTCTCTCTCTCTCTCTCTTCCTCTCTCTCTCTCTCTCTCTGTCCTCTCTCTCTCTCTCTCTCTCTCTCTCTCTCTCTGTCTCTCGCTCTCTCTCTCTCTCTCTCTCTGTCTGTCTGTCTCTCTCTCTCCCTCTCTTTCTATCTAGCTTTAGTTATTTACAGGGTTATTAGTAATCAAAGAAAGAGAAAAGGAAAATAAAAGAGTTGCTTTATTTCAGGATATATAATAATCAATGATAATCAATACACTTATTTGGTTTTCCTCACTGGTCGTCCCTCAGGTTGTGATAGGCGGTCACGTATCTCGCTGTGTGTGTGATCAACTCGCTCGTCTCTCCCAACACGTACGGCAGTTTCTCAGAGTCACTGCAGAGCTGAAACTCAGGACAGACGCTGCTCACCTTCCCATAGAACTCCTTTCTAATGGAGTCGTATCTCGAGCAGCTCTGTGAGGAAGTGCAGCTCCGTCTCCACCACTGAGACTCACAGTGAGAGCACAGTCTGGCCTCTCTGAGTGACCAGCTCTGTCTGAGGGCTCACAGTGAGAGCACAGTCTGGCCTCTCTGAGTGACCAGCTCTGTCTGAGAGCTCACAGTCAGAGCACAGTCTGGCCTCTCTGAGTGACCAGCTCTGTCTGAGAGCTCACAGTGAGAGCACAGTCTGGCCTCTCTGGGTGACCAGGTCTGTCTGCGATGGCCAGGCTGTGCTCGCTGAGTCTGTACATGGTCAGCACTCTCCTCAGTTTTCTGTCTGTAATTGCTGTGAGGTGCGGTGCTGAAGTATAATCTCGATTTAGGGCCGGGTAGCACTGAAGCTTGTGCTGTTGATGTGTGGTCTCAGTCCAGTGGGTGATGTAGTTTTGTTTTTGTTTGGTGATAATCTGATTGGGTCTGATTTTCTGGGCGAGTGTGTGGTCAGGCTGATTGGTGTTAGTGATATCATTTGGTTGTAGGTCACTGAGACTCAGGACCAGCTGGCTCAGGGGACTCCTGTCGATGTTCAGCTCCTGACCAGCCAGTGCGTTATAGTGGAGTGACTGGGGGTCACTGGATTTTATGTGTTTCCAGAAGTTTAGAGCTCTTTTCTGAATGTTTAATAGGAGTGGATACTGTCCTAATTCAGCCCTGCACACAGTGTTCGGTGCACATGGAGGATGTTTTTGCAGAATTCTGTGTGCAGGGCTTCAGTTGGATGTTTGTCCCAGTTTGTAAAATTGTTTTTTGTCAGGGGTCCCCAAACCTCACTGCCATATAGTGCAACTGGTTCAATTACTGATTTGAAGATTTTTAGCCAGATTGTGATTGGTATTTCAAATTTGATTGATTTTTTAATAGCAAAAAGAGCCCCTTCAGAGTTCCTTCACAGTCAGGTCAAAACTTCCTGTGGAGCTAATAGTAATGCCCAGGTAAGGGTATGTTTTAGACTGTTCACTGTT